GAGGATTCAGCACGATCGATCACATCCACACGGTAACGAAGCTCATCGAAGTATCGCGAGAGTACAAGATGCCGCTATGTCTCACGTTCATCGACTTGAAGAAGGCCTTCGACTCCGTTGAGACAGAAGCGGTTATCGAAGCCCTGGGCAACCAGGGTATTCCTACTCAGTACATCAGGATTCTTCGTGAGCTCTACAGCAACTTCACGACCAAGATCTCACCATTCTACAAGGAGATCATCATTGATGTGAAGAGAGGGGTCCGACAGGGCGACACCATCTCGCCCAAGCTCTTCAGCAGCGCTCGTCTCCCGAGAACGTCAATGCGGTCCAAACTGGAATGCGAAAGACAATGGCGACTGACAAGATCACCGACGGTCGGTCAACTACACCATCTCCGCTTTGCTTACGAACATAGTTTAGATAACGCCAAAACCATCAGAAGCAAACGAAAACGAATCTGGGGCTGAATTCGACTGCGCTATGGAAGAATTGGTCTAGCGCTGAACCTAAACGAAGACACCATGTTCATCATAAACGATGGTATCATGATGCCCCCATGTCACGCTCAAACGGAACGACCTATCTCTTGAATGCTCTAACTATGCGTGTAACCTAGGTCGTGAAATCACAATATGATGACACTGACCTAACGCTCCACAGAGCTGAGCAGGAGGAAGCGAGCGGCTTGGGGAGCCTTCAAGAACATCGAGGGAGTAGCGAAGAAGACGAAGAACACCAAGCTCCGTGCCCACCTCTTCGATTCCGCGGTCCTTCCTGCCTTGACGTACGCCTCAGAGACTTGGACTCTACGAAAGCAGGATGAGCATGCGGTCGGCGTTATTCAACGCGCCATCGAAAGGGCGATGCTCGGAGTTTCCCGCTACACGCAAGTGAGAGAGGGAATCCGGAGCTCCGCACTCCGCCAACGATCGAAGATCAGAGACGCCGCCGCATTTGCCAAGGCTTCGAAGATCAGGTGGGACTGGACACGCCTCATTGCGTTTCGAAGCGACGACCGCTGGACCAGAGCAGTCACCGACTGGATTCCACGGGATGTCAAGCGAACGCCTGGACGACCGCCTATGCGATGGTCAGACTTCTTCGTGAAAGCTCTGAACGAACGGTATGAAGTTCATCGTGTCCCTCGAGCTGAGAGAGTTCACTGGGCAACTCTTGCACGTTGCAGGGACGAATGCGAGACTACATTGCGCCCTCGAGAACTCCGATTGATCAACGAGAGCACAGGGATACAGGTCGATACCCTTCTCAATGGCTATGCCCCCGTCCTCCCCCTCACCCCAATTTTAGTGGGGAGATTCTTTCAGGCCATGATGCAACTGATCCCATGTCAACAATGTCTAATTCATAATCTTGGGTGTGTTAGCAGCTAGTTGTTGCAAGTAGAAATGAAAGAGGGGCATAGGCCTGAAAACCGCTATCATACAAAAGGGGTATACAAGAAGTTGCATATGCATGCCTAAAAGTTGAAATAAAGAGAGTTTAGAACCATGATACTTCGAAAAAAACACTGTATAGTTGAGTTCGCTACTAGCTCATACCGAATGCTCTTATATTGCAGCAAAAAAAAGCCCACATAGCGAGTTCTGTTTCCGCCGATTTTCTGTGATAACACGAAGCGGAAGGGCTAGAAAGGGAGCGGGACAGCTTAACGAGATCACATCCAACCGAGCTACGGCCTTACTTATCATCCTGACGTCGCACAGCTCCCTCCTTTTACTTGCACTATCTGCTACGCGGAGGGCGTTCAAACAGCAACAGGATGAATGCCTTTAATAAAAAACTGATGCTCCCCGTTCTTAGTTCTCAGGGATAGCTACCTAATAGTCAAGTTAATTCAGTAGTGCCTGGCTCTGAGGTCCTTAAGGTGGCGTATTAGTGAAAGCGGCAGCAACCCGTCCCAGTACCGATGGCTGGCACACTCCGTGAGAAACACAAAAGGCCAAAGATTTAGGAATGCCTTCCCACACACTAATAGCCCCACTTCTTGCTGTCCCATAAAATTATTCCGAACCTGTTATGAATGCAACAATGATGGATTGGTGATGGGGTTACGAAATGGGGTCCGGACAATAGAATAATGCCAGTTGAACATTTTTCTGCAATCCACATTCCAAATGGAAATGCAATCGTTATAAGCATCTCCAGCAATAATGCAGTGGATATGCTGCCCCTCATAAGCGGTTGTGTCATAAATAAATATATTCTGAATAGAACCACTTCAGGTCATGTAAGCAGTTTCAAGTGCATAAATTCATTTTCATGGGGAAATTACTATTGAACAGGGACATCAGGTTGAGAGGGTGAGGCGAGACTCATGGCAGATAGAACGCTTTTACATACACAAACAAACGCGTTGCGGTAGTGGTAACGTTTCCTATTTGTTCTCTCTACAGTCGCGGAAAAAAAAACTTGGAACAAGCCCAAGTCGCGCGCTTTTTAATAGTTTTACATACAATTTTAAATTGCACATGAAAACTTTGTTTGCTCAAATCAAGTACGCCTTAAAATGCTATTCTAAAAAAATGTTGGTTTATAGAATTCGTTACCGGGACAGAATTTTGAGGATTATTGCGATACGGCATACCGCTGCCACTCAGCTCTGATATTGGACCGGTTTTCAAAGCTTTCTAATCGCTTTGGGAATAACTTAGGTTCGTCGAGGGTTACGTAAACCAACGAAGGATGGAACAGCGCGAGCAGGGCACATCATTCGTTGGGGGAAGCTCGAGTCTGTAGCGTAAACCCCATTTTTTCGGCATGGGGGGGGGTTGGTAGGACCCCCCTCCCTTCTTCAGAAAAGTCGAGCACGATCGAGCCGAGGGCGAGGGAGGTATATAGTTACGCATGCAACAGTAAAAATCACAAACATCAAACCATCGCCCAAAACGCTCAGTAACGACACCCCCTCTTCCCCAATTAATTTACCAGCATACGATAGCCCCCCCCCCACTTTGCGAAAGTCTAGAAGTTGAGAAAATATCAACCGACATCGAAAATGAATTTCGTGTCCCAGTCCAAAAAACAAACCCCCCTCTCCTGTTGAGCAAATACGGGACCCCTACTAGGGAATTCAGCAACAACATGTAAATCTCGGAAGGGGAGGAGCACACACGCAGCACAGGTGTGTCTCTTCTTTCCATGGATTTCGCAAAGCATTAAGAAACTGGTGGAAACCGGTCCATATCACGAGTAGGCAAAAGGCATGCCGCATCGCAATAATTTTCGAAAATTCTGTCCAGTAACGAGTCCAATCAACAAGCGTTACTTTCGGAATAGCATTTTAAGGCGTACTTGATTTGAGCAAACAAAGTTTTCATAAGGAATTTGAAAATCGTATGTAAACTAATAAAAAGCGCGCGACTTGGGCTTGTTCCAAGTTTCCTTTTCCGCGATTGTAGATGGCATTCTATCTCAATCACTGCAGCGGTACGGCTTCACTGCAAGCAATATTTGGAATTATTGGTGATAAGTTTCAGATATAATGGCTATTCCTTAAAACTTTCAGCTTTGCGCTATGTCCAGATGTTCATGCGTTTTTCTACAACAAATTCAATGAGTTCAATCCAAGCTTGTCACGAATCAGTGGCCAGTATCAGTTACATTGAACCGCTTGATGTTTGATAACACGGAAATTTGGTACACTCAGTATCAAGGAGATGGAGTGGGCGTGACTGCGTACTTAGTCTGAACACAACGTTAGAAGCGTTTTTTTTTCGGGATTTCCGCTTGGGGCAATCGTCCTGTCATGTGCTGGGAAAAGACATGATTATAGTTGTCCCGAAACGGCAAAAGCCCACCTAGGGTACAGTCGCCGTCAAATGAAGTGTGCTGGTACGCCCACTCAATTTTCGGGATATGGCTTGTAAAGTGTCGAGGAGTGAAAGGTAGAACATTGACGAAGACATTCGAGAGCCTCCGAAAAAAGGCAAAAATAATGAGAAATATGCTATTAGCTATTATTCATATTGTCGAAGAATTATGTTAATTCCAGTCTGGCTGGCGCATACACTGCGCGCCTAACACTATACATTCATTGTTATTTTCGGGGGTTCTGTTGCACACTTTTGGCGTGAGTGACTCCCCACGATGGCTACCTTTTGTGTAGTCTTCCATATATCCGGATTGTCTACAAATTTCTGGAGCTGCTTCCGCTCCACAAGACTTTTGCGCTGTTCGCTGCTCACCGACCTTGGATTTACGAACCTCCCATCCCCAGCGGCTACTTACGACCCCCTGACCCACAACCTGATGAGTTTTACACAACGACGCTGTACCGTGACGAGCGCGAGGGCAGTGGGATTATGTGGACGCCAGTCAACTACATACTTGAGACGGTGGGTGGTCGCATACAACATGCAAACTGATTACTCGTGAGATGTTTTGATTTGGACAGAAACCATCTGCTTTTGGAACAGAAACGTACACATTGGGCTAAAATCAAAATACCTCTCCAAAAGCATAGCCACCATGACGTTTAGTTGAAGTACACAGCCATGCCCACATCTCTCAGAGATTTCGAGAATATTTCGCCTATCGGGATTAGAATAGCTCCAGTTGCTTAGCCCTGATCCCTGATACTCCGTAGGTGTTAGCTGTATCGACTACGACAGAGAAGCCATTCAAAAACTGTAGAAAAGTTCCCAAGTACCTCGACCTTTGGGGGGCTCCAAGCTTCGAAAGCTTCCACAAAGCCGTACTCATCTGTCTGCGAGAGCCCGGAGTACACGCTTCACTAATCGGGGGTAAAACATTCAGTGAAACAATTCAAATAAATTTTTCTCTAAAGCAGTTTATCTAGAGTGCGCAGGACTTTTTCCAATCAATTATTACATCTTTATTATATTTACAACAATTACAACGTTATGCAGTAAAAATAGTCTAATGCCTAGACATAAAAAAGCAATAAATATAACAACAGAACGTCTGCAAAGTACAGAGATCGTCATGAATCAAGCAGTACTGATGGAGCGACTGAGCTAGTCTCGAGGTTGATCCGCTGCCTTTAGGATCGGGATACTCCTAGAGTTGATGGCCGGTTTGGGCTTTGGTAACTCGATGGCCAGCTGACCCTCGTCGGTAAGGCTGGATCGTATCTGCTCAACGTCGACACCTTCTGGAAGAACCCATTGGCGAAGGAATGACCTATAAAATAAGAAATTCAGAGTCGCCCAACCAGAGAGACGTTTCCCCAGGAATTTAGGGACCAAAGACTTACCTGGCCGTGTAATTCGAGCCTTCTTTGACTTCTTGTTTACCCTCTACGGTAAGGGTTCGGCCATCGATGTTCACTTTCAGTTCATCTGGTTTGAATTTCGAAACATTCAAGGCGACTGTGAACTTTGACCCGTCATCGGTAACCTGCAAAGGTTTCTTTAAGAGTGATGAATAGGTAAAAGAGGCAGAGAGCCCATGAAACTATGACGTACCTTGCCCAGTTGACCCATACCGGCTTTCTTTTCCTTCCTTCTCCTTGGCGGAGAATGGGCAGATGGCCCCATCAGGAGGACTTGGCCGAGGGCGTCGTCGAGTTCGCTGAAGACTCGTCGAACACGCTTGGCAGTACAGCGTTGGGAAGAATGCAGAGAGACATTGTTGAAGCTCACACTCAAGTGACTGGAGTCATCTTCTACGGGGATCCTTATATACGGTTCGGGGATATCTTTCCAGCACCTTCGAGAACCTTCTTGCCCCGCCCTCTCGCGTTGTCGCATCAGGTGTGAATCATCGCGGGGGGCGGGGCCGCGAGAGTGTGACGCAGAGAGCGAAAGGTTCGAGAAAGCTCTAGAAGGGCTCGCCGCGGCTATAAAAGCGGCCGGCTTTGCTCACACCTGGTCAGTTTCTGGTTACTTTCGTGTTTACTAGTAGAGGTGGTTCATGAATCATACAATCATCTGTCAATCATCGGATTCTGTTCGCAATTTCTTCGTTCTCAAATCTCTTTCTATCTGATCAAATACCTCGTAGTATTTCTTGGACCTTTCTAGCGATTTCTATGTACGTACTTGTTCTTGTAACTCCTTCTATCTGTCACAGATATCATATTTTCTATGCCTTAACGTCTATGGGGTAGCCTGGTGGTAAATTTTCCTTATTGGTTCACTACAGATACGTTCCGTTCAGCCGTTGAGGTTTCTCTATCCCGTTCAGCCGGCCAACCAATTCTGAGCTTTCTGTGAAGGTCCCGGCGCGAAAGCATTGATATAGGCCTTCCTGCTCTTTCGTACTCCTACCGTACACCAGTATGTGCCTTTATCAGTCCGTTCGTACAGTTGGAAGAATGGATTTCCAACAAGCATTCACTTTTGTGATTATCCTGAAAGCCTATTTTTATCGTTTGGGCACAGTTTGGCTTGTAGGGGGACATTTTGCACTTTTGACATCAGGTAGAGTTGTGAAGCCAGAGTTTACGTGACAACTAGAACTTTTCGTTGAGGTCCTGTCGCGAAAGGCTAGAGTGCAGAGCAGTTGAGGTGTGCGGTAGCCAAGGGATCAAAAAGTGTGAGCGAAGCCAAAATGGAACCTTCTAGTGAGCTATTAAGCTATCTCTTTTATACAGACCCTTAATATTTACTCTTTCTAACTGTTTTTATCAATGTTACTTATTCATTCCGATGCGGATCAGCCGGCTGCTGTGCACTTTCGCATTCCTACCGTACCCCAGTATGTGCCTTTATCAGTCCGTTCTTTCAATTAGAAGAATGGATTCTACCAAAGCGTTCACTTGTGACTACATAGGCTTTACGCCCCTTTTTTCGAACTTCAGGTTAGGTTTGTCCCATCTAATTTAATTAGCTTTCCTCTTAGCTGGATTACCATTGGCGCAGGAACGCCTGATTGTCATTGGAGCGAGTCCACTGAACTACTAAGCGGAGGGGAACTTTCAGGAGCGCCTTCGTGTTCTTTGCTCAAAAAGCTCAGGCTTAAAGCGCAGACGTCGACAGTCACCGAAAGATGGTCCCGCAGAGAAACTGGCCGGCGCCGCGCGAGTTTCACCCCCCCCCCCGCAAGAAATTCCCAGCGTCTGCAGCGAAACGACCATAATCTCATCAAGAATGATCCCTGATTAAAGGAAAAGATGCAAGGCGCTGCTGAGGGGTCTGCTAAAACTACGTTATCGCCGGAATCGGTCATCATTCACTTCGTAGCTATCCCCCTCTGCACATCTACAAAATTCCTCATTTTCATTACGGCAATGCCAGCTTTACACAAGGAATTCAAATGTTCTGCCCTCCCCTCCCCTGGACAATTTGCGTCACTCCCGCGCTACTGGTGTCGATGGCTAATGGGAGTTGCGTTCCCGGAATACAAATGACGCATTTGTTTAAAACAAAAGCGTCCAGTATTGGCGCTACAGGCATTGACGCTATACCAGCTGTGCCAGATGTTTTCGCACCAAACGGGTGTAATGTTTCGTGTTTAGATGATGAAACTTCAGCGCTTAGCGCTAACGGGATCGTTCACCCTCATTAGCCATATGCGCTCTGTCAGGCGCTGGCAATGAGCCTGGCCAGTTTTTTCTCAACGATTCGCGAGCTTTCTTTTGATCTTGCCTGTGGCGCGGAACAAATTCTGCATTGATTCATGTCTGAATATACTATTATCATATTGCTAATCGGCTGATTGGAAACCGTTATCGCCTTGCTCCTTCGCCAGTGTTCGTACCCATTGGACCTGATTGATCATAGAATTGTTTCAAGCGAACCATTATCAATCAATCAATCGATAATGGATTTGTGGCCGGTGAATCGTCTGATGAACCGCATGATGTACGATACCATGAGGGATATGGATCGTTTTGAAGAGAAGCATTTTCCCGTATTGGAGAGAAGCTGATCATTCGTGCTTCATGTGGCAAACGAAACCCAGCAGGTATGCAATAAATCTGGACAGAAATGTTTATGGGCCCTTTTTCTGCATATCGCATGGCCGTTTAAAATGCAAAATCGATAGTAATTGCAGCTTGTTAACGACGATAAGAAGTTCGCCGTTTCGTTGGATGTATCGCAGTTTCGTCCAGAGCAGTTGAATGTGCACTTGGAGGGGCGTGAGCTGACCATCGAAGGCAAGCAGGAGCACAAATCGGAGAACAGCGCCATCCATAGGTGAGTCCTACCGTCTACCTCATTGGGCAGATGTGCATTAGATAGATATTGATCGCTTCGCTTGTTTCAGATCATTCACCCGCAAATGGTTGCTGCCTGAGAATGTCGACCTGGAGGCAATTCGTACTCAGCTCGACGACAAGGGTCATTTATCGTGGAAGCGCCAAAGAGTATCGAGGGTCAGGCGCAGAAAAGATCCATCCCCATCATGGCCGCTCCTAAGAAGTGAATGTGTGGTTCGCAGCACTTAATCATTTTCTACGGTTACTGCTTTTGATAGGTGGTTAGTTCCACTACAAAAATAGCACCTTCGGTACGGTCATGAATTAATAATCCGGTTTCTAAGCATTTTATTGTTGTTTTTTGCATGTTATCAATACATTGTTCAATTTGTTGGCTTTAGTTTGGTACGCTGCAAGCAAGTATGTGTAGCCAGTAGTTGAATTGTCTCTGTTTATTTTGTATTCACTAGTTAAGTGCAATAAATGAAGTTCATTTTGTTATTTGTTTGTTTATTCCGGTGCACGTAGGTGGGCAAACACAACAAGAAGGAAATGTGGGGTTCAGTTAAGAAGATTAAGCTGTGGTGTCGCTAGGAGTTTTCCTTTTCACCAGGACCAGACTGCTTTAGCGTGGAAGTGCTGTGGAATGTCCAGTCAACTAGCTACGAAGTTGCCAGTTGTTCGCATTGCTGCAGTATGGACCCCCTGAACTATACGCGGAAGTGTCACGGTGAAGATTTTAAAGAGATAACTAAAGTAAGAGGGAAAGAGATGTTTGGTGCATGTTTCAGGGGGACTGGGTTTGGCGGCGGCAACCGAACAGTGAAAGCAGACCGAGCATGTCGTTGTTGAGAATTCCCAACAGGGGATCGCGTTCGTTTGCTGGAGGGGGGGGGCAAGGAAGGCGGAGGAAACGTATTGATCTCGAAAATTTTTTAGGTAGTTGATTTTTGTTTCAGGGAAGGGCTCGTATTTAACTTCTGTCTGTCTGACAGGGATTGATTTTCGTCGCTCACTATCCTGCTTCATACAGGACATACATTGACATTCATACAATAAAAAAAATGAAATATTCAATCAATAATATACTAATTTCATTTAATAGTAAATTATCACGATAAACACCTTATTCCTCCTTTCCCCTTACTGATGAGCACAGAAGGAGGATATTATAAACTGCTTGGTTTCCGTCTAAGGGCACGTGCGAAACGGAAACTAAGCTACTTCCTTGAGTCACCCCCTCTAAATAGAAAAGTATAGTAAAGAAAACTAACAATCAAAATACTATATAAAAATTTATTAAAATGTTATTATTCATACATACTATGCAACCCCTCTCCCCCTCCCCCCTTCCTCGTCCCCAAGCTCGACAGCTTGGGGAGCAGGTGGGGTAGGGTCGTAGTAACTCACTAAAAGAAAGGAGTGGGGGGAGAGGTCGTATGGACTCGCCAAAATCCCCAACCCATGATGTGCCCTGAGCCGGCAGACGTCCAGTCTTATTGTTAGTCTTGACTACGTCTTCACTCCGTTCGGGGAGGAAAGCTGGGAGTGGACGAGCTCTACTTCCTCTCCAGGAAGACTATTTTGCAATGATTTTCACTAAAACAGATCCCTCTCAGCGAGCAACGACCCCTCTCCCACTTCCCAGCAAATCGAATACGACCCTCATCCGTGGTGGACTCCCGCTATGCCCTGGATTCCATGCTGGGTTGACCTGAACGGAATAGAATCTCTTGAGTGGCCTATGCACAGGTTGCTTGCGCTCACCTACTGCGATTTTGGATGAGATCCCTTGAAAATCGTAAAAAATAATAATGGAATAATACGGAATGAGCAAAACTTCGGGTCTCCTCGAATATTCAGGGCTTGGTACAGTCACCGATCAATTGCCTTCGTACAAATCGTAAAAATCGTATGTTAGCTTCCTTGGTAGTTTCCCATCTGCCCTATTTGCATACAGGCTGTTTGGAAATTCAATGTCTGTGGGCTCGGTGAATAGCGCCGTGGAAATGAAAGGAGATACGTGCCCATTGTACGAAAAAAAATCGTTGCACGGTGCAGATGAATGAGCAATTTCACGTTTTCAGCGGTCAAGGGTTTCATGCGGCATCTTCACTCTTCCGCTCCAGTAGTCCTTCCACAAAATGCTACCCCTGCTCTTTGGGAGCGAGACCTTACCATCTCTAGTTGTGGCAACACTCATACGACCTCCCCTCCAGTTTCTATTCTCTGGTATGACTCCCCTTCTCCTTACTGTCTCTTCTCTTCCTGAGTTTCCCCAATATCCTACATCGCTTTCCCAGTTTTCCACAAAAATTTTCAATTATAATCCGGAAAACTGCCGCAGAGCGTCGACCGGCGCGGAGGGCGTCACAAGGAATTCCAGAAATCAACTATCAGAAACAGTGGTCATATAGTGCCCTTCTGACACCAGACAGCCCCCCCTACCTCACCCTTGATGGGGCTGCTTCACCCTGCCCCAACCACATTGCCCACATTTCCATCTAGAAACATAGTAAAGCTTTCAGACAGCTCTTCCTCTTAAGATAAACAAGACTTGAAGCACAGAGGCGCTGATCAACCTCTTTTGGGAGTGAGCCGCGCATTCGTCTTCCATCCAGAATCGCGGACACAGAGATATGGGGGCATGGAATATGTGATAATATAGATCCACTAACGTTCTGAGCCAGCTGATGGGTTCCCTTTGGTGTCTAAGCGAACGTACACTCCATCCCTGAGACGGGGTTGGCGTGCTTTTGTGGATGGCATAGGAAAGGTTACTCGTGAGACATTTCAATTCGAGACAACTATCATTTTGTTTTTGCGTTGGACAAAGACATGATTACAACTGTCCAAAAACCTAATACCAAAACAGCTGCTGCCACATTCAGCTGAAGTGCGCAGCCACGCCTACCGCATCTCAGGGATTCAGGGTGTAACTTGCAGCTCTTGTGGTTTTATTTGCCCTGAATATTCGTCATGAATCGCAACTCGAAGGAGATATCGCGCTCCACAGCAAGGAATAGAGCAAGGGCAGTGTTCTTTGAATGTCCCCTCTGCTCTGTTTATTACTGACACTTGCACAAGGGACCCTCCTCCTCACAGGCAGGTCCACGTCGCAGATTCCGCGATACAAGCTGTACCCTGGTTCCAACCACTTAAATTAACATATTGCACTTCGACGGCAAATCCTTTACCCTGAGCCACGACTTTGTGCGCACACTAACAGGCATTTTTTTGGCCCAAAGCCGAAACTTTAGTCACATCACCCAATTTTTCGAGTACAGAGTGCAGCTCAGGAGAAGGCAATACAGCTTCTGGATGGGTGCTGCATCCCCGCTAGACTATGCTTACAACCCAATCATTCCTAGCTAGTTCATTCGACATCTTGCAGCAGTCCCATTTGAGCAGTTGAGTCAATTAGACCCTAGAGCGATGCTGCGCACTTGATACCTGCGCTGCTTTCGTCGCGTCGTCGGAGTGCGAACATTTCGCAAGTTTTCTGTGATGGTTCACCTGGATATGTGACAAAACAATAGCAGTCTGCGCGCTAGGGGCGTGGCGAGCGACACCGCGCCGGACAGACAAGCTGTCTTGTGGACGTTTGAAGTTGAGTGTTAGAGGGATGAGGAAATCCGATATCGCCCATCTTGTCTCCGCTTGAATCCATGTGAGTTTCGTTGCTCCAATCGACAAACTGGTACGCGTCCAGAACTTGCCGCGCATCGACGCACGATACGCCGCGCGCGACGAATAGACAGATCACGAGTGTCTTGTCCGTCTCCCGGCTTACCTACCGTAGCCTACACAGCGCTACCCAAGAAAGAATTGTATCCTTTGCAAGCGTATCTTGTCGTGATAAATGCTGATAAGCGCGGAAACAGCCTAGGGTTGTTTTTTCCCTGGTCAACACGAAGTGAGTCACATTTAACCTTTCATTCGACAGGGAATGGTCGCATCGTGAGCGCTGCTATACTGAAAGGTACGTGCATTTTAAAAAGTATCTGTTCCCTTCCAAAGCTTCACAGTCCGAGATTGCCAAGACTAGCTTCCTGAGGGTGAATCATACTTCGCGATTCAATCGCTTTGAGCGCTCGAATAATCGGATTGCGAAGTATGAACGCACTCAACAGTCAAAACGTTTTCTGAGTACCATGGTCCACCTAGAATCAATCAATCAGCTGATGAAATCGAAGTTCCACCATTTTCAGATGTGGTTTTTCCTGTTACCGCTGCTCATTTGGGCTGACGACGCTCCACAATGCGCATCGGGTATTTTTCAGAAGCCATTCTTGGAACAGAATTTGGAACTAGCTGTGAGGGTTTTTTTCTGAATTTGATGGTTCCGACCCACATATCAGCAGGCAAATGCAGCTTGGGAGATCCGAAAGGCGACCCGGCAAGGGTGGCGAATCGAATGTATCGTGTCAACCGCCGCGCGCGACGCAGTTGCCCTCTAGGAGAAGAACAGCGGATGGATTCGCGATTTTGTGGGGCCTGACGAGCGGCAATGTTTGTGCATATGACATACTGGGGCTTACCGATTAGGCCGCGTTCAGACTTTGCGATGACGTGTCGACGCGCTACCGTTGCAGTGATACTATGTGCGGAAACGCAGCCGTAGACATGTGTCGACCGGCCGCTGATGTTTTGGTAGAGTATAATGGAAGGTATCAGATGATGTGCCAGTGTGATCAGGCGGTAATTAGCCAAAGCACAAACCCACTCCTACTGTATATCCGCTAAATTGGTCTGGTGGCTATTGGTGTTGTGGTGTTGTGTTGTGCGTGGTGTGAACTGGTGTGTGTGTTGACTGCGAACTTATAACTTCCTTTCAAAACAAGCGATTTAGAGCCTCAAGTGCATAAGTAATTGAAGGGGGCGGCGAAGAAAGTATTGGTAGGTGGCAGAAGTATAAACTAACAGTACCATAAGGGGCCTTAGAGGGGGGATCACCAACTTCGTGGCGCGGGTCATAGCAGCGGCAGAACGTTGGTTCCTAGAAGTGGACAGGGGGTTATGTGACAACTAAACTTTGGTGGGTGTCCTGCCACATAGCCAGAGCGCCAGCCAATAAGGCGACTGCTACAGCTAAGGGCATCAGATGTAGACAAACACTATGAATATCAGATGAGCTGTTCGAAGTTAGGACAGGGGTGTGTGAGGACATTAGTATCATGAAATCCAAATGGTCATGAATTCACCATTCAGGCAAGGAGAGCGCAAGAGAAAGACACAGTTGACGCCATTAAGATATTGATGTTTTAGACCAGACAGAGGGCACAGGATGAACATATTCTGGCACAATATAAAAGCATAAATACCTAAATTTTTTTTTTTTTTTTTTTTTTTTTTTTTTTTTTTTTTTGTTCTTAGAAGGGATATCACCATTTCCATGACTCGCTCCCCAAAAACTTGGAACGTTATGTTCCAAAAACAATAATAGGACTGGGGGGGGAGACAGGATGGGAACACCGTTGGTGGGTGGCAGGAATTGATAACAGCTGATAACATCTCATAAAGCCTTAGAAAGGGACTAAATCAAGTGCGCCGCCACCACAGTAAACGCTGACTGAGGCGGTAAATAATCAGGATGGGAACGGGTCAGAAGGAACTCCCGAATCTAAGCGCAAGACTAGTGACCTCACCATAGTCGAAAGTGATTGTCATCGCGTAAACCCTCGAGTTCACCAAAAAAGAAACCCTAAAAATGTTTCCAGTGGAGAATGATAAAACCGACCACAAAACGACGGAAACTGGTTAACAGAACGCAAATATGAGGGCGTCACTAGCATCCGATAACTCAAATTCTTAACGCTGAGCTTTCTACTTCAAACAATGTGGGGGTTATAAATGTGATAAACCACTAAAACATTCGGCAAATGCTTACAAAGGTCAACTATGATGAAATGGCGCCTAGGCCACGTGTTAGTCATCTGCGACGAAAATACCTGTCAATGATCAACCATAGGCTAGTACTCTATATCCGTCCCAAGCGCCCCCCCCCCCCCAATTACGCGTCGGCGCTGAGCTACGCCATCCGTGACAGCGTCTTCCATCGTGATAGCAGTGATCACTGCTGCAAGTGGCGTCACGCGCAAGAATGATCTGCGAACGTATACGTCGCCTGAGAACTTGAGATGTTGTTGATGTCAGGGACTCTAGGAGCGTTCATGAAGCCGATCCTAAAGAAGAATGCTCTCAGGTTCGACCATAAGTCGTGGTTCAACTCATGATAGAGGGTCATGGGTGGCGCCTCTCGTCATGTCCATTTTCTCCCGTGAAGCGTTCATTCCAAAGCAATGTTCAGAACTATACCGACGAGGAACATCAAGTAGGAGTGGTGTGCTCAATGACGTTCATCTATAAGACCGGATACTGTACAAGGAAAACAGGCAAACGAGTCGGAGCCATCGTCTCGCGATACGCTCACCTTCCACCACAACAGGTATGCACTTGCTTATCTCTCTCCTGCAGTGCTTTTGGCTCGGGTACGTGGAATGGTTACTGCGTATGAAGAGTATTGCCAGTGTGAGCGGGGTTACATGCGACAGGGTTGAGTCGAGTCCTAAAGCCGCGAGAGTCGGCGCTTGTCTTGGAGAACAGCGAAATGTACTTCTTCGAAACTTGTCGAGGGCCTGTCAGCAACTTTGCGCCGAAGACATCGAGGTTCACGACTGAGGTCGATAAGGCGGTCATGCCGGACGCGTTTCCAGGAAGAAGGACAACAGCGGCGCTCTGGGAGTCGCTATGCCGACTCGGATCATTGAGGAAGAGTCTTTTTTTCGGGAAGCAGGGTTTCAGTCGCCGACGTCAACGACTCTAGGAAGGCCTTCAATTATGGACATCTAGCAGTCTTGTGACCTGGACGAGTTACCCGACTGAAAAGACGAGTTGCATCACTCCGATGACCAGCACGGTCAGTGCATCGAATTAGCGTCATTCGACCGCCGTCCCGTATAAAGATTGGACAATGGGACAGGAATATGTCGGGTTGAAAGCACGTTTATCGAGGCTGGCCAGGTCGAAGGGGGGGTGAATCCCGTATAGCAGTACGGTGTAGCCAGAGGAGGGAAAGCGAAACAAAGATCGGTGCGGAAGAGCGCTCTAATATAAGCCCGGTATACTGCGACTCAGTCTAGGAAAGGAACGAGGATAGCGGCAGGTTGGTAGCGCGGTGGGGCGGAGAGTGCTAGATGACGGAAGGATGCATGAACAGGGGAGGGACGACAAAAAAAGAGGCTGCGTAGCCAGCCCACGCAGACCGAGTGAGGTCGGGGTCCACAATAAATGAGACACAATGATGCGTCCGACTGTCGTATGCGGTGGCATAGAAGACGCCTGGCATTTCTCATTCCAGAGACAACTTCTACGGGTGGCATCCCGTCGGCTAACAATAGCCGCAGAGCAACGAATTTCCAGAACAAGCTAAACAGGTCCTCGTCTCTCCACTTGATCTTCAACTGGACGTGCATCCGAAGAAGAGAGACATTGCACGAGTCCGTGAGTGGGTAGAAGCAAAAGATGAAAGAGCAAAAAAAAACGAGCGAGACGACAGACACGGTCTCACTCATGGGACTGCCGTCACACAGGTGAGAACACATCGTCCATCTATTGGTGCAATCGCTGTAGGTGGATGTGATTACTACGACTAATGACTGTTTCGACGCCACCCTCCCATTCCCCCCCTCCGCCCCCTCCCGCCCTCCCTCACTAACTTACGAGCGCGAAAACGGTAGAACCTCTCCTAACCGAGCCACCTGGTACAAGAGGAGGATTCCATCTATTCGGTAGTCGCAGAACTTATCTTTAAATCGTGTCCCCTTCAGATCACCGAAGATTTTTGCGTCATCGGAGAGCATTCGACTACATGTTTCTGCAGAGAGACCGGTTGTAACACGAACGTTCGAATAATCATTGTGAGTTGAGTAAGGAAAGTCGGAGGCATGGCGCAAACTGGTTCCGGAGTACACACGCGTTTAGCTTACAATATCTATCATGAGGCGTTCGAATGAACTTGACGGCCGTACCGAGGCTTGCATTCAGGTCGTACCTTTGCCCTCTTCAAAATAACCTGCGCGTTAAAATGCAGGATTAAGAACTGCTACTGGTTTTCGCTGAAGCGTTGAAGGGGGAGGGGAAGGTGTCAGTGGGACTGGGTTTGGAGCAACGCCAGCCCGCTTTCCACCAATTGTTGACGCTTGTCCTCTTCAATAATTGTTGGAGAATGGTCTGACGTCGTGCCTTCAACCCCCTTATGACATGCCCCCGCGTCTCCAGCAAAAACGTTTATATGTTCCTGTGTTAGCCGCATAAGTCCGCTACGGTCTTGACTACCTTAAGTGAAAGCCCCTCCCTAGAAGATGGGGCTGTTCGCATGCAATCAGTGTTTCTTATTCGATGCCGAGAAAAAAAAAGCGCGCTTGAAAAGAATCGTTGCTAGAGAGGTCGGAACGCAGGAAGAGGCTAAGTCTGTTCGTCTGCGCCTTCCCAACGAAACAATAATCCTCACTTACAAAAGACAACATTAGGGAGCTCACACAACGGGAATGATTGGCGTCCTGAAACTCCCGCATGTTTGCGCCCTCCTCCTTCCCCTTAGTATTCAGCCCAAATAGCCGCTCTCTCTCCTCCTATACTTTCACACTTAGTGGCATAAGGCACGGAATTTGTATTTTCTCGAATAATAGGAGCAGGGGTGCTATGTAGTGGGAAAGTTACGAAAAGAGCGGACTCAAACGGCCAGAAACCTGCGGAATGGCCTTTGTTCTGCATGACATACAACGAGCCATTTGACGATTCCCCGCTTTGGCATTTCTGCCAGCGAGGCAACAAATTATATGGTCTTCATATCAGTCCGACTTCATAAACGTAGCTACGACACTACCATCGTCGATGTGACTCCTCGACCATTCCTGGGCGGCCGGTTTCGTTGGGCGTCTGGGAGGGTATCTTGCACCTTGGTCACGCGCTATAATGGATCATTTGGAAAACGAGTCTGCCAATCACAATATTTTTTCGTGCTAGGCGTATTGAACCTGCATGCTTTGTCGGTTTATCGAGCCACTTGCCTCTGAGACAATGCTCATACATGCTTAGATGGTAAATTTTCCAGAATATTTTCAACTCTAATCTCAACCGCAGAAAGGAGTGGATGACTCGTTATCACAAATACAACAGAGTATTTGTCCCACCAAACGAAACAGACGTGGAAGATCTTGACGATTGTTTATTTAACGAGTTTCCCGTCAGGTGGTCCGGTATGACTTGTTCATTCCTTTTAGAGGATTTAGTTGAGATCGTAGGTCAGAGCACGTCGTGTATTGGGGATCTCCAGCGAGGGATGCGTATTTGATCGCTGGAGGTGGTCTCCCTTTGTGGAATTTTCCCCCAGCGGCATGACGTGCCCGATCGCATGCGTACTCTTAGGGGCGTGACACGACCGCTAAAAAGCAAAGTGTTGACTGTTAGCCCTCTCCGTTGGTTCTCGCCCGAACGCTGCTCCCACAACCCCAACGCTACTCCTTTTAGAAGGGCAAAGCTCATTCCGCGATAAGCAATGAGCGGAGTAGTGGGCGGAGACTTGCAAGCATTAAGCCTTTCTCATTGGCGTGTCATTTTTCTTTACCGCATGAGCGGGAGGGTGCGGCCAGGTAGGTACAATGGTATCCGGTTATTGTGGAGTGCTTCTGTGAGTGGGAACGATAAGGAGAATAACCAGGGATTAGCTAATGGTATGTAGTGAACCACTGCCCTTCCTCTTATCCTTAGTGCACGTGTTTTCAAGCGTAAGGAACAAGGAGCCAATCTGCAGATTTTTCCCCTCCGCCCCTACGATCAACGCGGAATGTGCACTCCAGAGAGAATCGAATGCTGGATCCTGGGTAATAGTAACCACAATGAACTCAGCTGATACCCATTTTCAGAGGGAGAAGACAAGTACACTATTAAGAACGGCAATGATAGAAAAAAGAAGACTAATGGGGAAGAGTTAGTGAATTAAAATATTTCACAATTTTTCGCGCGAAATACAAAATTGAAAGATTTGCTTATTGTTTTACCTTGCATCTAGTACCCACACCACGTAGTACGTTGGGGAATCCCCAGCGAGGGGTCGTTTTCAGTCGCTGAGGGGAAGAAGGGGGGGGTCATACTTGCCGTCGAAAGAAATTCACATGTACTACGCTCCTTCGCCGCGTCGACAAATCTTTTTTCTGGTTTAGACTTTTTGAGGTTTCCCCTCCCGTTTCATCTGTTTCACATGTACTACGCTCCTTATCCCTGAGCCAGAGTAGGCGTGGCATTTGAACATGGCACGGAATGGTTACTCGTGGAATATTCCAGTCTGGGACAACTGTCATCTTGTTCTGTGTTGGACAGAGACACGACAACAATTGTGTCAAGATGAAAATATCTCACCAGAAGCACAGACACCTTCAGGTTCAGTTGAAGCACGCAGCCACGCCTACCCGATCTCAGGGATTTCGATTATATCTACCCCCTCTCTCCCCTTCCCTCCACCGCTTGACAGCCAAAACATTGGAAAAACTGAAAAGTTTCTGGAAATATTGGGGAAAAGTTGAGAGGAATCTGGGGAAAGTTGAGAAGGTTGGGAAGGTGGATGGAGAAGGAGATAGGGGGTAGGGGAGCGCATTTCCCAAAAATTCCCCCAGAGCCAGGAAGTGCCTTGCTTGTACCTCTATCCTGCTTTTCAAAAG